AAAAAAAGGTATTGGAAAAACTAAAGCAAAAGATTATTATTTTCTTAATCCATTCAGGCTGCTATAATAAATTATCATAGAAAGCATTTATTTCTCAGAGTTCTGGAAGCTGGGGAGTGTAAGATCAAGACACCAGCAGATTCAATGTCTGGTGCTGGCTGGCTTCCTGGCTCATGGATGGTGATCTTCTCACTGTGTCCTCACTTTCAAAATAGGAATTTTAGGGGGACACAAACATTCAATCCATTATAACTACCTCCCCAAAAATAGCTCTAAACTAATAGATTGAGTTCAAAAGACACTTACTAAATTGTTTACTATATGTAAGTCGTTGTGGTAGTTAAGGGATCGGATCTGAAAAGACAAGGTATTTACTCCAAGGTGTTGTGAATGAGACATAGGAGATGCTGGATGTACTGAGTCTAGAAAGCAAACAATAAACAAACCACTGTTGGAAAGTTACCGAGAAAACAGTTCTGCTCTTGGAGACTGAGAGGTCAGGTCCTGTGCCACTTTAAGTCTGGAGAAAATAAAGCCCTGAGTGATTTTGCTTTGTCCTGGGAAGGTATATCCAGACAGTTATTCATGAAAGAATCGATATCAATGCCTAAGCAACTTAATTATTGTATCATGTTTCTTGAGTACACAAAGGTCATAATTGTTAAGAAAGTACCTGCATTTTTCCCAAGTGTTATTTCATCTGGCAATCTAATTTGGAGTATATAATTATATTCACTCATTTTCATACTCTCCTTGTTGCTTGTATATTCAAGATATGATAACATTTTATATTTGCTTTAAAGTAATCAATCATTCTTGTGAAAAGATGTGTTGGGTTCAAAGGAAAATATATTTAGCCAATATTTTTTAAATAAAGCATGTTCTTATTTAATATGGGCATTTAAAAATATGTGCAATACTCCAAAACAGAAAATTGCCCAGAAGTTTTTAGCCAATTTAAGCTTATAAAGTTTGCATCTTGAATTTGCTACCAGATACGTCATTTGCTTTTGAATGATTATCTCAAGAAAGTTAAGGTGTAATTCTTAACACCCATGTTTGAGAGCACCTAGAAAAACAGAATGGTCCAGCAGTTTGTCTAGCTTGTCATCAACTACTTAAATTACATTATATTAAAGCCAAAGCACTATAGTAGTAAAATAGCTCCATTATAATTTTAGGACTTCTGAGTAACCATGAATTCCTTTGATAGGTTGTGTTTAGATACACAAAATATTTGAAAAACCTAACTCTCCTCAAAGCATCTATTTTTGCTGTCACCTGAAAGGTTAATTTCCTTGCATTTTGCCCATTAACTTATGTTTGCCCACTAGGAAACTTCAAAGTGTGTATTCCAAATACCCATTTCTCTGAAGAAACCTGTCTTCACTAAATTGTCCATTAAGAATGGGAGTGTGTGCCTGTAGGTGAAGAGCTGTATACGCTGAGAATGCTTGGAAGAGCAGGAGTTCCCCTATCTCCCGTGTAATGTTTAGCATCCAAGGCTGGCAAGCCTGTGTCCCAGGAGCAACCTAGAAAGAAAGCAGCTTTAACAAAAATCCCACATTAACTGTCTAAACCCATAAAACTCATAGGTTCATAGAAGCAGATTTTAGAATAGAAGAGTATCTTGAGCTACCTCTAGCTTAAAACTGAGGCAGTAAGATTTTTAAAATTTTTAAATCATGACCACTAAATAAGCAACTGTTTACTGAACACTTGTTTTATGCCAGTGCTTGCACTAAGTACCTTAAGCTTATATTATCTTACTTAATCCAGTAAACTCTCTGGTAAAGGTAATACAAGCCTCATTTAGGTGAGAAAACTGAGGCAAAGGGAAAATTAGGGCTGGACATGGTGGCTCATGCCTGTATTCCCAGCACTTTGGGAGGCCAAGGTGAGGGAATCTCTTGAGGCCAGGAGTTCAAAACCAGCCTGGGCAA